TTACTCATAAAAAATTCATCTCTCTTCAAACTCTAGATTTTCTAAAATCTCAGAATCTACAACTCAAAGGAAAAAATGACTAAGAAAAAATATTTAGAACATTTATTTAGTTTTAAAATACTTAAAATCTCATCTAAAATATTCTATTATGGAGTTTTCACCTTCTAAATCAGCTCTTATAGTCGCAGCATTACTTATTCTCTCGCTCGCTCTCTGTTCACACCCTAGGCAAATGAAGAAAGAAGGAAGAGAAATAGAGATGAAATATGGAAATAAGTTGTTTTAAAAATAAGCGTGGGTCCTGCATACTAATCCACACCTCTCTCTCTCTTTCTTTTATCTTTTTGTGAATTTACGCAGCATAAAGCCAAATTATCTGGCCCATCTCTTCATTTCATATTTCTTTTTCTTTTTGCATTATTTACACCTCAATGCTCACATAAAAGCAAAAATTACTTCCTCCCTCCTCTTCAATTTTTTTTAATGTTCCTTTTCCCTCTTATTTCTTTCTTTTTCTTTTTAATAATATTATCATTATGATTTTTATTTACTATAAAATCATAACTTATGATTTTAATCTAAATTAAATTTAATAATAATCTTCTAATTAAAATTATTTATATTTGAATATTCCTCAAAAATTGCTCATTTGCTCTAAATTAATTTAATTAACCTTATGTTAATTTTTGGGATGTTACATTATTTTTATTGAAGTTATAAATTTAAATCATGTGAACTGTAATTGAAATATATTTTTATTGTTAAAATTATTATAAATTTATTATGATTATAAGTATTTTTATTATCTTAATTGAATTTATTATGTTGAAATGGATTACTGCCTCTCATAGAAAAAAATAAGAAAAATATTTAAGTAAGTACTTAACTAATAGGATCAGTATCTCAATTTTAAGTTTGATTTTATTAATTTTTGGATTATCGTTAAATAAAATCAGATTATGAATTATTTAACTCAATTTTTTTTTTAAATCTGACTTTAAGTTAAATTGAAGTCTAATGTCATATAATTCTTTGTGTTGGCGTGACCCCAACTAGCCTCAAATAACTTTTTTCTCGGGTGATATGAAGAAGAACACGCAACCTCGACGAAGAATCTTCCAGGTCGCTGGCAAGCCAGGAGCAGCACGAAATATGGGTCCAGGCCCAATAATCTGAGGCACGCGTGTACGTACTTTGCTTTTTGATCAGTGCCATGAGAAACAACTGATTCGCATCCCATTTTGTTGACGGGCATGTTGTATTTATGATTTTGACTAACACTTGAGGCTATTATGGTGAATATGGTGTTCTGCTATCCCATGGATATTGACCAATTCAAAAGTGAAAAAAAAATAAAAATTGATAAAAGTAAACTCCTTGCGGGGAAGAGAAAGAAAGGGAAATGCAAATTGAAAGGGCATCAATGATTGGCACGCGTTTTATTTCACAGTATTTGCATGGACCGGCCAAAGCGTTCTAAGCATTTTGCATTATACACTAAAATCAGAATTATGATCTTTCATGCGGATTTCTTTAATTCTTTATCCGTCTCTGGGCTCCTCCCATTCTTCCTTTTCCACCACCTTCTCAGCCGCAGTCCCTTCTCTTCTAAAGTCTAAACGTGTTGCCTCTTCTTTCACTACAATCACCTAAAATATTCACAGCATTTAACTTTTTATTTATTTGTCGGTAAAATATTTAACTTTTTTATTTCACCGTAATAATATCTCATCTCATCTTTTCATCTGGCTAGAAGTAAAACACCAGTCCCTCACTCCTTCTTACTCTGCCGACTATTTTTTAAGATTAAGAGTGTTAGTGAAAGTGAGCTAAATGTTAAATATTTTTGCATAATTTTTGAAAATCACCCTTAATCAATTCCATTGTCTAAGCCAAGAGTGAAAGAAATAAAGGTATGTAAGGAATAAAGGGTGGTCTATAGACTATAAAGGGTCTTGTCTTATATTAAAGACAAATAGGCAGGACCTTGCAATTTGATATTAGTTCGAAGCATGGTTTTTTCCATGCTAAAATCTGCAAAATGTTTATAACAAAATATTAAAAAAAAAATCAAATCCCAAAAGGTAGGGACGGTAATTTTCATCATTGAAGTGACTTTTTTATGGCACTGAGGACGTCCCATGCCATTGCGTGCACCTAGCTTCTGACAAATTTATCCCCTGCCATTAATTACTATCCCTGTGTCGTTGTAAATTCTATGTTGCGGTGCCAAAAGCCCGCGTCCTTTTCTTTTTTTGGAAAGAAAAGCCCGTGTCCTATTAACACGCGATGACACGAATCTCTAAAGTACCCTAAAAGGCCCGTTTTCTGTAAGATAATGAATCGGTCCAACTGAGCCCAATTCTGTCGGACTCATACCAAACTTCGTTTTATATGGCCGATGAAGATTGAAGCGTCTATCACCAGATAAAGGTTCATGGCAAGTCCTGAAGCATTGGCGTTATGTTGGTAAAAAGGCTTGGAAAGTTGGGAGGAAGGCACTATTTTTTTTTCCTAATAACAAAAACAAAGCAGTGTACAACACGTGATAAACTACAGTCACAACTTAAAAGGGAAAGTAACCAATAAATATTAGTACTCAATTTTTTTTTTCATGGTCACATCATTAGGACAATAAAATTTAGCTGCATTGTGACTTGCTAGTATGATTATATTTATTGAATAATAGCCCAACTCTGCCCTGTAACAGCCGTTCGAAAACGAAAAACTCTAACTTGTAACTTGCTATTTACAGTTTAGACTATACAAAATGTGAAATTACTTATTGAATATAATTAAACAGTCCTAACTTATACATAGATAAAAATGTTACATCATATACAATCTTTCACGCTTTAATATCGCGACGGTCTGACGTATGCATTTTAGAGTGGAAATGCAGATTGAAGACTCTGGCCTTTGCGCGCGACAGAGTTTTGCCCTTGAAAAACTAATGGTTAGAAACAAATAGTAGGTGGGCTACATAACAAAAAAAAAAAAAAAACGCGAGGCAGCATGAATCTTTGTCCAGGTGTAAAGTTGAGCAGAGTCAGATTCCATCCTGGACTCTTCTTTCTTGATATTAATTTATAATCAAAGCTGGTGTGTTCGGTGTCTCTACTGGGAGGGGCTTGCATGTGAAGGTACGCGGAGGAGCGCCAAGTTGGTGATGTTGGCAAAGGAGTGAATAGCTCGACGTGGGGAGAGATTAGAGAATCAAATGAATAACTTGCATTGATTTCATATTCCCGGATATGTATTCCAAAAGCTACAATTTTAAAAATCCAAATTGAGACACATACATAACAAAATCCTGCAGCCTTCACGATCACACGAGTGAAAGAAACTCAGCCCCAAGACATGCTGATGAGCAGCAAGTACAAGGGCTTCCATGTGTGATTTGATCTGAATTGTGACCACAGGGAGGGATATATAGGTGTGGGATGCACCATGCATTGATTGAGGAATTATACGGACAGAGAGGATATGAGATATAGACGCATGATTTGAGTACAGTGTGGGTGATATGTTAATGTATTTCGTATGATTAGGAACAGAAAAGGAGAGAAAGGGGTAGATAGAGAGAGAGTGATAATAGATGAAGCCACGGGGGAGAGAGAGGGTGAAGGAGGAGGACATCAGTGAAGTAAAAGAAGGGATCCCGTGCTGGGCGTGGGAATCATGAAGTATCCCTTTTTAAGTTTTAATCATAACCCTGCTCTTCCCCATACACTGTCCCGTCCCCCTCAATCTCCCTCCATTCATTCATTCCCACGTCGTATTCCCTACATTATCATCATCCCACGCTCTCTGCCACATTTCATAAAATATCCTTTTGTTACATTCCTGTTGCATAGCCATACTTCATTTTTCTTATGGGGATTATTAATTGACCTACTGACATTTGATTCACTTTAAGTTTTAAAAATAAACAGGAACAGACCCACCGCAGCCCAAGTCCGATCCATATATGCCCACTGTATGTAACACAAAATATTTCCCCATCTATTTAAAAATATAAAATATTTTTTTAAAAATTAAATGTTTAAAAATATAAAAATGTTTTTAATACTTTAAAGAATAATTATTATCTTATTTAAAAATAATTCTATTGAATAAATCACTTTATATTTTTTTAAAACAATTTATTAATTATAAATAAATATAAAAAATAAAGTTAATTTAAAAATAAATAATTATTTTATTTATTATTAGGTGAGTTTAGTTAAAAATATTTTATAATTTTAAACGGATAGAGTATATAAAAATTATAATTATAATAATGCGTGTCCCAGCTGCATATATCAGACGTCAAGATGTGAAAAATTAAAGAGGCGTGCTTGAACGTTAAACAAAGGTGGAAGAAACAGAGTGCAAGTTTTTCTAGAAATTGGTAAGGTGAAAAGGTAAGTGATCGTTGTAGTTGGTACATTATAGAAAAACAGGGACGAGGAGCCCGTGATTCGCGAGGCAATCAAGAGGAGTGCTTGGGAAAAAGCCAAGGTAGTGGTGGAGCCCACAGGACGTCTTTTAGCGAAAATGCGGAGTTAAGGGTCAAAAAAGAAGAACCTCGAGTGGGAATTGGTTGCGACCCCACACAAGGGCCAAGGCACGCCAACTCGCAGCCATGAGTGGACCTATTTGCAATGTATAGACGTGGATCCAGCAGTCCTCCATTGTTCAACCTGCAGGTGTGAAATTTCCTCGCAAAACGACCCAACATTTTAACCCAGCGAGAAGCGGGACAAACACATCTGGCTTCCTTTGCGTTTTTTCTTCCCAGCCCTCACCAACCAAAGCAGTTGGTAACTGCCTCAATGTTCTATACCACTACATTACGCAAACGAGGTTTCCTGGTAACCAAACCCGTACCTTCCCACACACAACAAGGCTCTTCCTTCGTCCATTCCCAAACTTTCTTAATCAATTCCAACTTCCAAGGGCTTAAGTATTGACAACAGTTCTTCCTAATGAGGACTTGAACCCCTTTTCCAATCCGGTGACTGCAACTTCAGATTCGACAACATTGTAGAGACGCGCCCTTACTCTCCACCCAACCTTTTAAACTCCATGAGACTAGCTAATGACAATAATAGAACGATGTCGTCACACATTTATGAGTCAAAGAGGGATGCATTCTCCACCCTTTCCTTTTCTTTTCTCTCTCTTGCTTGCCAGAATTTAGAGGTCTTTGCAACTGCACTTGCGGGGTCAGAATCGGAATTAACATAAGCGCATTCAATTTGAGACTGGGAACGAGAATATTGTGCTAATGAACGAAACAATGAGTGAAGGCGGGTGGGTGATAAATATTTTATATTTTTATATAAAAAACTAGATAAATGAAGAAAAGAATATGTGCAATTGAACAAGCGCATGCGGGGGGATGAGGGCTGATTTTTTAGCAGGGATCCATAATTGACGAGCATTGTGCACCAACGCTAAAGTTCCCCTGCTTCGCCGTTTACGAAACATTTTCGGCGTTTCATTTGACCATCTTCGCTCTAATCTAATCCCATGTCAGGCATCTGGCACACCAACTAGGCAGGTTTCGTCGTCTACGGCTGTCATATTCCCCATCTTCCCTCTCACGACCTACAGCCTCTACTTTCAACAACCTACATACTCCATACAACCACAACAACAAAACAATCTACTCCTGCTTCTTCTTCGTTTTCCCCTTTCTTCACTCCTTTGTATTTTGACTGTCTCCGCTGGCTCTTTTTTCACCAACGGATCCGATACCGCTTACTTCCTTCTCTATAACGCCACTCTCTCTCCATATACTTTTGTTTCACTTTCTCACTCTTCGCTCCTTCTTTTCTGTTTTTCAGTGGGCTCCCTGCTCACTGTCTTCATTCTTCTCTACTTCTTTCGTCGCTAGCCTCGCAACTCACGCGGTGATTTGTTATCCTTGTTACTCACTACTTCTGGGTTATTGAGCACGAGCTTAAACGGGTTAGATGGAGAGGAAGCAGGGGTTTTTTTCGGCGCTTAAAGAAGAGGTGGTCAGAGGGTTGTCTCCCGGAAGGTCGAGGGCCAAGAGTCCGGCAAGGTCTGCCTCTCCGATGTCGAGTTTACTCCGGCGCAGGAAGAAGCACCATGCCCCGCCTCCCGAGCTGTTCATTGCGAGATCGGGTAGCTTGAGGCCGGCTGAAGCATTGTCGCCGTTGAAGGAGGGTCCTGATGGCACCGATGCTGAAGATTCCAGAGGCGAAGGTCGGTGGGGACACTGGATGAAGGGCCCACTCGCCAGGACACCTTCCGTTTCATCCTCCTCTGCCTGTAAGAGGTCCGATCTAAGATTGTTGCTTGGCGTCCTGGGTGCCCCACTCGCCCCCGTTCACGTTTCCACCGCCGATCCTTTTCCTCATCTCAGCATCAAAGACATTCCCATTGTGAGTTTCCGCTTCCTGTCCTTTTTCCGCTCCCTTCATTTATATCTTGAGAAGTTGTATGCACACATGCCGCTGCTTATCGTAGCGCCTAATCTTCCCCATTTATGGCCTCACTTTCGTATTGCCTTGCTGGATGGTTCTGTTGTAGTTTTTTTTTTTTTAAATGTTTCTGGATAAGATGGGAGAAACTCCTTCGGGTAGATTAAGCTACGTAGCCCAAAATTTGGATCACTTCGTTCGTGCCCGGTCTTGTGAGTCTGCGGGAAAGTCGATTGCTTGAATCTAGATGTATTGTTTCCCAAATTGACGCGGCGGGATATAGTTGCAACGGGGCTTGAGAGCAGAGTTTGAAGTTTGGATTCGTCTAAAATATGTATATTTTGTTACTTCATTGACGATTCTCGTTGATCAACACAAGTCAAAGACAATCCATCGTGATCAAGGTTAAATAAAGGCTTGTTTCGTTTTTATTTAAAAAGTGCTTTCACATCCAACGGACAGATGAAGCGATGAACTTGAGTGCTGGATGAGTCTAGCAATTTTTTTGTTGTGTTTTTTATATCTAGTTATTTACGCAAGTAATAAGAACTTGACTTTATAAACACATTCATTGTTCATAATATTATGGGGACTTAATTTGTGATACCAGTGTGCAATAAGCTCTTAAGTATGGCTAAAATCCTATCATATTAGGCATCTGACTGCTTGGTCTTCTGTTGGACATGATTTTGTCTATTTTGAGTGAACTGGTATGCTAGTTTGCCGATTGAAAGTAAATAAAAAGGAAAGAGGAAGGGTTGTGGATCTTCTGATTATTTCTGCCCCTGCGCATTTAGAGGTCTTCACTTCAGGGTACAGCACAGTCTAATTGTGTGTTCTTGCAGGAAACTTCTTCTGCCCAGTACATATTGCAGCAGTACACAGCTGCTTCTGGAGGGCAAAAGCTTCAAGATTCCATCACCAATGCTTATGCCATGGGAAAGGTGAGAATGATAGCCTGGGAGTTCGAGACAGCTAACAAAGTTATGAAGAGTCGGAATTCCTCCAAAGCTGCAGAATCAGGCGGGTTTGTCTTGTGGCAGATGAATCCAGATATGTGGTATGTGGAACTTGCTCTTGGTGGCAGCAAGGTTCATGCTGGTTGCAATGGCAAACTCGTGTGGCGTCACACACCATGGTTGGGTGCCCATGCTGCAAAGGGACCAGTTAGGCCTCTACGACGGGCTCTTCAGGTGAACCTACATATTCTGTTTCATTCCACCTACCTGTTGACCACTACCTTTCACTGCCTTAATTTGGTAACCTAGTTTTTTTTTTCTGTCCACAGGGTCTTGACCCAAAAACAACTGCAAGCATGTTTATCAATGCGAGATGCATTGGGGAGAAGAAAATTAATGGAGAAGACTGTTTCATCCTCAAACTCTGTGCAGATCCCTCAACTTTGAAAGCCAGGAGTGAAGGCCCAGCTGAAATCATAAGGCATGTTTTATTTGGGTATTTCAGTCAGAAAACAGGACGTCTTATTCACTTGGAGGACTCACACTTGACACGTATTCAAAACAATGGAGGGGACGCAGTGTATTGGGAAACCACGATAAATTCTTTTCTCGATGACTACAGGCCTGTTGAGGGGATTATGATTGCTCATTCAGGTCGTTCTGTAGTAACACTTTTCAGGTTTGGGGAAACAGCAATGAGCCACACAAAAACCAGGATGGAAGAAGCATGGACAATCGAGGAAGTGGCATTCAATGTGCCCGGCCTTTCAATGGACTGTTTCATTCCTCCAGCTGAGCTAAGGTTTGCATCTATGAGTGAAGCTTGTGAGCTGCCTCAAGGTCAAAGGGTGAGAGCTGCTGTTGCAGCTGCCGCATACAATGCCAAAGTTGCACAACTACACAGATCTCATGAAAGCAATGTCCGTAACATTAACTGGACAGTGGATGTTTAGAAAAGCAGAAGTCTCTACTCTCACAGTGAACAGGTCTGGGTTAGGTTAGGTTCTAGTCTTGACACTTTTGAAGCTGGGCTGACAAGTTTCTGGAGGCAAATGATCAAATAGCAGTGTGGTTATCAAGGGAGTTCTCTGTTGAAGATCGTTACCTCGTCAAATTTGTATATAGAAATGATCAGTGACGGTTCCCAAAAAAAGGAATCTTGATACTCTGGGTTTTTGGTGGACAATTAAGCAGCACAAGGCTTGTGTTTCCACTTGTGTACCGTAGGTGTGAAATTGGGAATCTGCTGATCATTTATTAGCTACGGTTCCTACATATCTTTCTGTGAAGGCATTCACTCGTGATGCTGGAGATCAATTCCGGTTGTTATAACCTCGTCATCGCTGACAATTTTTGACTAGGTTTCAATGCGCTAATATGTAAGTTATAAATGGTGGTGATACTTGCAAGGGAATTTGCTGCCATCTTTCACGGATATTGGCATTGCCATAGCAAAGTAGAATTTGTCTTGCAAGTTGCAATACTTTTGCTTTTCAAAGGACGTATATAATTGCAGTCTGCTCGACGGTTGTAACATCTGCGTTGGTAGAACTATGTTTCTGATTAGGAAAAGAGTAGCATATGCATCGTTCAAAATTTCTTGGTATAGTTATGTTCTCTTCTCTTCTCTTTGTTTTTTTAAATAATCTTTTGATGCTTATAGTTTGGTTCAACACTAGCTCAATTTCTAAATTTTGAATCGATGCATTTAAGTTCTATTGACTCGAAAAAAATTCAGTTCATATAACCGACAATTTGAGTTAATCAGAGGACAGTATCCCTAATTGGGTTGGTGGATGGTGAAAAATAATAGAAATATCACCATAACTATGAACACATCTAGCTATAAAGTCAGCATAACATTGTGTTCCCTAATCAAGTGGTGAATCTCCATTGTCCAGTCTCTATGAAATAGCAGCTGTGCGTCCACGATGATGTCTTATAAAGGGTTCCCACCGTCAAGGCAATCAGAGGAAGTTTTATTTGTTTAAAATGATAGTCTTCACATTTCAAAAAATAAAATTTGAATTAAAATATTTCTTAAACATTAGGGTTCAATGGTTAAAATGATTAAAATTATAAAGTCAGTTGGTTCGAGTTGAAGTTGAAGTTCAGGATTGAGTTTTGCTCAAGTCAAAATTATAGACACTGCATGGAGTCATAATTTAAAAATTGAATTTTAACTAAATTAAAATTATGGAATGAAATAATTACCCTCCCCCCTCAATTTTAAACATGCAATTCAATTCATCATAATACTATTGACACTTTTATGATCGTAATACCATCTTGCCCAATGAAATTGACATTGAGTGTCTGTACTACTGAATCATTAAAATATAAATCAACGATTTAGATAAGTTCACTCATTTATTATCCTTAAGTGAAGTATAAATTCATAACCATTGATCTAAATTTTAATGGTTCAGATGGTATATACATTTAATATTATATTAAATACAGCGTTGAATCTAAATCTTACCTAACACACCAAAAAAAAAACTAAAATTTAAGTAACTGGTTCTGCTTTCCACCTATGGCAACCGCATATTCTTGAGACCAACACCATTTGTACTTAAATGTGTTTTTAATCTTCGCCTACTTATTTATTCGAAGGTGCTAAGTTTAACCATGCTCTGGGACCACGTTCAGCTTCTGATTTGAAGGAGCTTGTTCTCTATTTTGAAAATGTGGTCCCTCATCCTCTTTTAGAAGCTTAGTGGTTCATCTCTCCCCACTTTTACATTTCAAACTGTCGTAACCTTTAACTCGAGAAACCAGAGAATTGTGGGCTAAAGGTAAGGTAATATCTCAGCAAACTTTCAAGATTAACTGAGTTTTCTACGCTAGTAGTGCTTTACACCATAGGTATAGCTAGGAGTAGAACATTAGAGCCATTGACAATTGAACTTAACCCACATTCTAGATGCTGGACAGCATAATTACTATTTTGCATAGGAAATCAGAAAATTCTGTTGCAAGTAGATCCCTTTATCTTCCTCACATGAGGACAAGCAACTCCTTAGACCAGAGTGGAAATGCAAAAGCTAGCAAAGTCTGACATAATCTAAAGGCCGAAAAATGCTTTCTTCACCAGTTTAACTTCAGAGTATTGTGGGGGATGAGCTTTTTCATATATAAAGACGATATAAATGAGGACCACACCCTTCCTGATGTGTGAAGTATGTAAGAGAAGATTCAAACACAGATCAAGAAAGAATAAAGTGTGTCACAGAAAGCATAGATCTATTCAAGAGTACTGAGTATAGATGGATAAACTGTACCTATCAAAATTTTTCTAGTGGCTAAAGCTTATTTTAATCTGCAAAATATTTGTAACCATGACGGTGTTTCACAATCAGTTCACTCGGTCAATCTTTCGACTTTGAGTAACTTCATAATGCAGTGCATCAAAAGATTTTGACGCCATTATTAGTAAATTAAATATGGAAGAAGCTTGCTGGTGGGTGATAGAATTTTTTTTATAGTGGCCATACATTGATATGCATGCCAAAGTTATATATATTTGAACGTGAATTGGGTAAAACTTTCCGAGATAAATATCAATGCTGCTTATGGAGACTGCTTCAACAGTATCGAATTACAACATCATGCTATTTAATTATATGCCCGCCGCTAGGTCTTTCCATGTCATTTGGCTTTTCCCCTGATTAAAACTTAAATCCCGCTGGATCTTCTCAAAAGAAAATCTCAAATATCACCTTATTCAATATGGGTGTGGCAACCTTGAATTCCCTACCCAAAACTCCGTACAACACCAGCCACAGTATCTCCGACGAGTCTGACCGGGATGAGATCTGCACCAGGCCATGCTGTTTCTTTTGCACCATGAGAGAAGCAGACACATCCCTCAAGAGAGCAGAAATAGGGAAGTTCTTCAAAGAGATGCCTCTTCGAGATAATCAAGATCATGTTTTGGTGCTGAGTGGACTGTGGCATATTGCCATGAACCAACCAAATGACCCAGAGTTCCCCTCCCTTGGCATATTCAAGTGCATGGCAAATCTCATCTACAAAGCTATAAAGGACAGAAACTGGCTTCTTACGAATCAAAATATATACACACCCTATTATGCTGGTCATATCATTGGTTCTTACACCATAAATAAGGAGGAGTATGCTCAAATTGCTGTTCAGTCTGGCGTGATACCACCACTAATGGAGCTTCTGAGAGGAAAGATGAGCTGGGTTGAGCAAAGAGTAGCAGTTCGAGCACTAGGACACCTGGCCAGTTATGAGAGTACTTTTCAGGCAGTAGCAGAATACGAACAAGAATTGGTGGAAGTGGCAAAAAACGTGGCTTCTACAAGCTTGAAAGTGGTCTTTGTTAAATTCGTAGGGGTCAAGGACGTAAACAAAAGGCTCCAATACCATAGAAAATTGCTGACAAGAGGTGCTGGGAGTGTGGAGAAGGAGAATCGCAAGGCCGAAGAATGGGCTAGCCAGCTTCAATGCTGGTCTCTTCACTTGTTAAATTGCTTCGCCTGCAAAGAGAGGTCTCTGAATCTCATAGCTGATAAGGAGTTCCTGGAAGATTTGTGTGAAATGTGGGGTGGATTAATGAATTACACGTCACCAGCTGGGGTTGGATTGATTAGAATCTTGTGCTATAGCAAAATAGGAAGGGAAAGGATTGTTGATTCACCTAAAGTTATCAACGCTTTAGGTAACCTCTCGAGATCTTCGGACGATTGGCAATATTTAGGTATAGATTGTCTTCTATTGCTCCTTAAGGACCCACAGACGAGGTACAAAGTCATTGATCTCGCAGTTTCATATCTCATTGATCTGATTGAACTCAGAAACCTTGGAGACAGGTCCAACGTAGGGGAAACAATCATGAGGGGTCTCCTTCTGCAATATCAACGTGGTATTTCAAAATCGTTGCCGGAACTGCTGCATCTTGAGGTGGACAGGAGGAATATGGAGAAACTTATGTGTGAGGAAAAATTAGAGGAAGCAAAGGTTTTGATAAGTTCAATAAAGCAACAAGCAAAACACATGTTCTGGTTAGGTGAGGTAGAAGCTGCTGTATCGAAGTACACTGAAGCACTAGATATTTGTCCATTGAGATACAGGAAAGAAAGAATGGTGCTGTATAGTAATAGGGCTCAATGTCATCTGGCGCTGAGAGATCCAGATTCAGCCATTAGCGACTCAACTCGAGCTCTTAGCCTGTCTAACCCAGCAAACACACACGGCAAGAGCCTTTGGAGGAGGTCACAGGCATATGACATGAAAGGGATGGCCAGAGAGAGCCTGATGGACTGCATAAATTTGATGAATGGGTGCATCAAGATTCCGTATCACGCTGCTCGCATGTTATGCAAACAGATGGATGCCATATGGCTTTTTGGTCCTGCCCGCTCAAAGGTAACAGTAACGCAGAGCCAGTCAGTGGTGGGAAAGACAAAAGAATCTAATGGTCGTGAGGGCAACTATGGAGGGCGACCACATGTCCGTGCGATGGTGTTTGAAAAGCAGAGGTCTCGTGCCCGGTAAGTTCAGATAACCCTGAATGTATTATTATATAATTGAAATTACTTATATCCATAAAAGTTGAAAGATTAAAACTTAAAATTTGCATCGATCTCATCTGATGTTGAACAAGTTTGGCCTCGTTTGCCCCTAGCATATCATGACGCCCACAAAGTTGGAGCTAATAACTCTACCAGTGAGGTCAATCACTTTGTCTAAAATTTGGTGGTAACTTTTTCCAGGTCTGGCCGCCATTATTGAACAACCTCTGCTCGCAAAAGAAAGAAGAGAAAGACGGAAGGGGCAAGGAGTGCCATGAAAACTGGTGTAGCTGGGGCAGACGTTAGCCGATCTAAACTGGCGTGTTCCAGATCGACCCGATCGATCAACGTTTGGCTCTTCGGTCTGCTTCACGAACCGTAGATGCGCAAAAGTGAGGTGGTGTACTGGTATGGCCCTGCACTAGGCATGGAATTATGAAAGATGACCACATTGCCATAATATAATATCACTGTTGTTTTTAGACCCAAAAAAATATATCACTGTTGCTTCTTTCTTCTTATAGCGCGGCACTGATCAAAAAGAAGGCTGGCAAGAAGGGTCTGCTTTTTTTATACGACAAAGCTCCTTAAACCGAATTTTTTTTGCACTCTTCATAAACCCTAATAACTACAAAAACCTTTTAGGCATTACAAGATATAAAATATGGTTTGAAAATGAAGTTGATGAATTTACAATGGCAGAGCTAGGATGTGTGCGCGCGTGAGGGAGAGAAATGGACATACTATTTGCCGTGCAATTTCACGACTCACAGTCGCATGGTTTGATAATACTGAACTTGTCACAACTTCACCATGACATTAGTTATAAATTATAGCTGAGCTGCGATATTTATCGCTTGACCATATTATTTAATTTACATGACCTAGCGTGCAAATTTGCAAGTGACAGTGATACTTTAATTTTTTTTAAATTTTATACAAATTCAAGATCAACTGCAATATTTATAGTGCGTAGCTCCGGTTGGTACAAGGAAAGAGCTTTTGTTGAAGGTGAAAATAGTGGAAATGAAAGTGAAATTGATATGAAAAATAAATATAGCATGGTGATGGAAATGTGATAAAAAAAT